CCAGCATAACCTTAAAAAAATTAAGATTCACTTTCACTTGCTAGCCTGATGAAATGCCATGTAATTGTGCTTTACTGAACTTCTTAAAAGTCACCCCTGAGCTCTGTAGAAAGAGGGTGTTTTTGTTGGGTAAGTGCTCCCTTCTAACAAACAGCAATGTGTCCTAAAGCTGGTCAGGACTCCTTGCTACAGCCACACTTTGAAGGTCAGTTCAAATGCAGATTTTAAGACCTATTTTTACGTAGGGGAAGGAAGTTTGTTTAAAATGTCTTTTGCCCAGTCAGTTAATATTTTTATCTTGGAGAATTACAGGTTTTGTATTTGTAATGATACTGAGATATACTTAATTTTCAGTTTACCACTGGAATGTGAGTTTTAACATTAATCCAGTACAAACGGAAGTGATTCAAGTAATTGTCCCTTTAGTTGAAGTAATCCATTCTAAATTATACAGTTTCCTTTTAATAGCCCCAAACCATTATTGTTTCTCTTATTTCCATTTGTATAATTGATGGATGCATTAGAGGCATTATTCTAGTTAAATTTTAATTGACGAATTACAAACTTAGCAGTTTGAATTTCAAAATGTTTTAAATAAGAAGTTGAACATTTGAAATTTGCCTTGACGTTGTTTAATACAGTGAACAAATCCAGTTCAAGTACGTTTTAATTGCAGGTTTGAGTTGTTGAACTTTTGTAGATAGTTGTAAAAATTTGAAAAACCATTTTTTCAAACAACTGATTGAATAAATTAATCACTGGTGATGAATATTAAGTAATGGTGGTAACAAATTCAAGATGACGTAACTGGCTCCCTGCCTGTAAGACTCATTTATGTTTAGTGGCTCATATTGTGAACTTGTGTATGAAATTATTACTTCATTCCTTAGGAGGGTAGAGTGTTTAGGGACAGGTACACAAAGACCCTAAAGAATTAAATTCAAATTGAATTTTAATTTTAAGAAAGTCTAAATTTTATGTTAGTTAAGATTTTGGTGGTTTATGTTTTACTGTTTTAAACTTTAAATTACTTCTTGATTATTCTTTAGAAGTATAACTGTATGCCATATTTGCTATTAATTATGATTAACCATCCTTTTAGCCATTTTATAAATTCTGTTGTTTTAATTTTCTTTGTAATTTTTATGTTCTGACTCTTCCATGGTTCTATCAAAAATTTGTGCCAAAGGCAACAGAAAATAAGCCCAAAAGTCTATATGCCTGTTCAGTAATGGAAATGGTTTTAGTCACTCCAATAAAGCCAGGCAACTATGTTAGAACGACCCGACAGTGAGAAAAATATAACAGTAAAGCTGGTGTAATGAAGATATGTTGATATTGTTGTTTAAAAATTGTCGTTTATAATAAGCTTTGATGAGTAAATTTGGTGGAATCCAGATGCTGAAAACTGCCCTTCAGACTCAGGCCTGCTGCGTGACAGCATCTTACAAAGCCTTGTTTTGTGTATGTGGTGTAAGCTGGTGGTCTTGGTTCTTCTAATTCAAGACTCCATGTGATAAAAGTAGGTTTCTTGTTGCCAGCCTAGGCAGAAGGATGAGGATTCATTGATAAAGAACCACTAACCTGTCTTTCCACCAAGCCTGTGATACTGAAAAGGATTAAGGCCACTGTAGGGAACTTGTACTGGAGCCTGCTCGGCCCTTTCTCCTGTTCTTTCAGCTAAACAGAAGATTTTCAGTTCCCATGACTATCAATCTGGTATTTTTCTCAAACACTAAATTCTTCTAAGGAAGATAATATGACTTAATTTTAGGAAATGACCTAGAAGGATAATGTTTTATTGGTATCTCATGTTCAATATATATTGAATTTATATATATATATATATATTTCTGATCCTATTAACTTAGAGTATTTTGAATTTGCTAGGCAGTATAATCACTTAAAATTAAGTGACAGATATTTATATGATTAGATTTGCTTGTCTGGTTAATAGATATCAGGTTTGGCTGTGTTGAATTTTAGTATTTCATTAGAGTCTGACAACCCTGTGGACATAAACTCTAAACTTTTATTTCTAGAAGACAGTAACTAAAATGCGATTTCTTCCCACTGAAGTTTAAAAGCTTTGAAATGCTTTTATAATGCTGAAATGTCATATTTTCTCCCACTATCTGCCAAATTGGCATTGTATGTCATCTTGAAAATATATTTTGATTTTGTGAACTAAAAATAATTACATAGTATTAAACATTCTCTATGGTTAAGCCTTTTTTCTTCCATTTAATTTGATCTTTTGTTGTTACTAACAAATAATTTGTGGCACAGTTTCTTTTTTTACTTTTTTTTAAATCATTGCTGGAATCACTTACTTGTCACCTTAGTGTGCTGGAAACGCTCCTCTCAAATCAAGGGCTCCTTTCTGGTTTTGTGTGTTCTCACCTGCTCCTCTCTGTAAATCACTGAGATGTCAAGTGCGGTGATTAATTAGGCTGCACGTGCAAGTGCCTTTTTTTCACCTGTCAAGCAGGAGAGACGTCTCACAGCAAGATTAGATGGTGCTAATTCAGCTTTACTCCAGACTGCAGCAGTGGAGAAATATTGAATATTCAGATGATTATGCAGAATATGGCATAGCAAACTTTGTTTGCTTTAGAATTCTTAATATTATGGGATACAATTATACCCAACCCTGTCATTAAACTCCTAATTAGAGGCGAAGAATAAATTTGAGGTTCCTACATATTTTAGAATTTTATATTCATACTTTGTAATTATCTTTTACACAAATATTGGTAATTGATTTAAGTAGAAGTAAATATTTTTAAGTTGGTAAATGTTATCTGTAGGTGTGCATGTGTATATATATGTATGAATGATAATGAGAGTTCTCTCTGTATAGCATGGCTTATACATTCTGGTAATTTGATATGGTAATAACCAGTCTTTTCTTTGAATAATAAATATTTGCAGAATGTAGTGTTAAGTTTTTAAGAACTACTTTTATATACTTTTAAAATAAAACAACAGACTTCAAAAGTTGCTTCTCCCGATTTCTTTAATTTTCTTTCTTCCGATTTCTTTAATTTTCCCCATCTTCTTTTAAATCATCAGTAAAAGTAAAACCTCAAATTGTATAGTAATCTTAATCTATTATTAAAAGGTCCTAGAAAGGAAGATTACAAGGTGGATTCAGGTTTTGAAACGGTTTTACCATTGGTTTAGCAGCGGGTGGGCAGGCAGATGCCTGCTCATAGTTGAACCTATTGCCATTTTTCACCATTGATAGAGTAGCCTTTCAGAGTCAATGAGCTCTGTCAATGTGAGCTTGTCAAGGCTACAACTTCATAGACCTGAGAGGCGGTTTGAGAGGTCAGCCCTTTTCAGGTTCGCTGTGATGCAAATGAACTTTAATGCTTAAACAACTATTGGAATTTTTATGTCTGCTCCTTGTTCTTTTTTCTTCACAAAGTCATTGACGAGACATTCAGTGCTTTTTAAATTGGAAGTTGCATTGTGCTAAAGACCTAGTACAGATTTACGGAGGGCTGAAAGCAGTTAGATCATGTTCTTTTCATGGTGCGATTAGAATCAAATCGATTTCCCTCCAGCCTTCAGCATTCAGATGGCAATTTTAACAAAGCTTGGGGGCTAGACAAGGGACAAAACGACTGAACTGAATGTTAATTACACTCTGCAGCCTTATTTTCTTTTGATTTGGGGCTGACTGGCAACTAAATTAACAAAAAGTGTGACCATAACTGCTGCCCTATTTTCATTTAAAAGGAGAGCTGCCTCTAAAAGGCTATCTTACAAAGAAACAAGTGAGGGCTGCTGATCATTGCTAACAAGGGCACTTTTTCTTTAAAATTCTTGCCGAAAAGACTGTTAAAAAATTGTAATAAATTAGTCATTGACATTATTGCCAGAAAATAAGTTGATTTTCTGATTTTTATGACATAAAAATTGGAAAATATAAGCACTCGTGGTAGTTTGATGCTAGCTATAATATGAATTATAATTGGCACCTATGTGACTTCAGTGTCTTTCTAGCAGTTCAACATGCTGAAATGTAGTCCTGGAACTGGATTACAGTAGATACTTTAAATAAATCTTAACTTTTTTACGTAACAGACTTTAAAACCGGCTTGTTCCTATCAGTTTCTCACATCATTCAGTCTTGGTTGGCATTCAAGTCTTCATGCGATGATCAGTACGAACTTAGAGTCACGCCACATTTATATCAGTAGACACCTTCTTTTGCAGGAAAGCTGCAGCTGCATCAAGTTGCAGTTGATCGCCTAGCAGTAGTGTCACTCCTGCACCTGCGGAGAGTTAGTCTCATCCAGACACCTGGCTCCATGCATTAGCTTCTTTTTTCACACCCCCAAGCAAGAAGTGGTCCGTGCTGTATGGTCTATGGTGCAGCAACAGAGGAAACTCTGAAATAGTATCCTTGGATTAAAAATAGAATTTTACTCCCAGATACCACTTTTATGTTGCTTTAAATAAAAATTTGGCTCTGTTTGAAAATTGCAATGACCATCAAACTGATTTTGTCATACAATCCTAAAATTAGTTTGATTTTATAACTCATTTCCCCCTTTATTGACCTTCAATTTGTAGTTTGTGTTTTTTAAGATTTACCCTAAAGGCCATTGATATTTTGTTAACTAATATTTAAATTATTATTGTTTTAAAAATAGAGGTTAAGGAACCTTCATTACTTTTTAAATACTGCAAAATGTTTCCTAAAGAAGTGGAGATTTAAGTTAAGTAAGTAAATAAAATGACATTTGCTGTTTAGACTAATAGTTTTAAATCAGAGGCTAGTAAATTCAAAATACCTTAAAATATAAGCATTTGTATTTAAAGGAAAATTCATGAGAGGTTGCGCCTTAGTGCTGGACCATGGCGAGTGCAGACCACTCTTGCCTTGCCATCGTTTTATATTTCTTCCCCTTTCACACAAAAAGCAGCTGCAAAACAGCTTCTCTAAAACCAGTCAAGAGTAAACTTTCCCCTCATTTGTCTTCCAGACACGAAGATCGATCGAGAAGTTATTAGAATGGGAAAACAATAGGTTATACCACAAGGTGAGTGCTGCGGGGAGCAGCTTCGTACTGTTGGGTCTGAATTGCACAGTATGGAAACAGATGCTTTTGTTGGACTGAAAATATGAAAGATGGACGAATGGGTGAGTCTTGTGCCCAGGAAAATGGAGCTCATTTTTCTTCCTTTGCCCTCTTTCGTGTCTAGCTGTGCTTGCACTGGAGACTGAGCAAAAGGAAATGTGAAACGAACAACATGATGGAATATGTAAGTTAAAGGGCTGTTTTGTGAGTTTCTCTATTAAATGATCATTTATTTTGTTTCTGATCTTATTCTTTCCATGATTATTAATCAGCAAAGGTGTCAGGAGCTTAATCTCCTGAGTGCAAGGATTTTCTACGGTTCACAGATGCCTGGGTTTCATGTGCAAGACTGATTTATAAAGTTATGAATGACTTGAAAACAAGGCTTCACTGTGTTCTGAAAAATAATAAATTAATTGCCAAGATAAAATGGCCTGAACATGTGTTGATGGAGTGTGAAATTTTAGATGCTGTATAAAGAATAACCACACCCTTGGTCACGCAGCACGTCAGATATGGCGTTTTTATATCATGCTAATCAAGTTTCCAAGTATGGAAGAGAACTTTTCAGCCAAGCTGTTGGAGCCTGAGAAGCCTTTATAGACTTAGGCTGCCTGTGTACCTCATGGCCTTAGAGGGTTTTCCGAAGGGTTATTAGAACATTGCTTTTCCAGTTATCTTAAACGTAAACAGATGTTAGCCAACCTGTTTTGCCCTTTAAGACATGACTGATTTTGGATACCCATACATAAACGTGCACACACACAACCATTTTAGAATTTTAGTTTATTGATGCCCTAATTTATTTGAATAGTTGTTTTCTTTTTGAAAAGTTCAGAATACTTTAAGAAAATTTGAATTTATTCTTCCTTGAGCTTGAGCGTTTTGCTTTAAAACATGGAAAGGTTATTAGGTTAAAAGAAAAAGATATAAGAAAGGAAATAATAGTTGAAACTAAAACCTGGTTTTTGTGAAGGACCTGGTGTTGCATTTCTGAGGAATTTTCACTGTTCTTTGAAGCAATATAAGCCTCATTGTGTATATGTATAAAAGATTTGTTAAAAAGTTTCCTCACTCTTCCATTATCAGACAGCCAAATCTCCTTTCTCTCCTTGAACATCAAAGATATTTTGTATGTTCTTTCCTTAACCCCCAAACTGTCTCTGTTCACAAACTTAGTAATTTAGGTCCTACCTTTATGACCATATGTTAGATTTCGAGGTGGGAAAGACGTGTGCTGCTTCATTGTCACCGTAAAACAGCAATAGTGTGAGGTTGACCTGGCCGGGTACTAGTCACTTCATCGTTGATGGTAAGAGCTCTGTCATTGGGAGGACAGGAAGAGCTATTTGGGACATTTCAAGGATTTCATGAAATAATAATTTGCTGTTATACATTTATAGACCAGAACACCAAGCTTAAACCTGAAGCTTTAATTACTTTTTGCATGTTTTTTTTTATTTACTTTCAATAGAAAAAAAATGAAAGTTAATAACAAACTGGTTATACCTGGTGGTAGAGCACATGCCTACCACACAAGGGGTTTGATTCCCTGCACTGAGAAAAGAAAAATCTAAATTACGTGATTTCCAAGTGGAACTCTATGAAGAACATTCATTCAAAGAGCATATGAACTGGATTTTCTTTTATCTTTAAGACATTTTCTCATTATAACTAAATTAGTAGCTTTTTTGTTTCTTTAATTCTTTCTTCTTTAATTTATTAGATTTAAAAAAAAAAATACCAATCCAAATTCCCTCCCCACCTCCCATTCCCTCCACACACCCTCCCACCCCACCCATATTTAATTCTAAGAGGATAAGGCACATTGTTTTGTGGAAGGTCCAAGGCCCTCCCTACTACATCTAGGCTGAGCAAGGTATACATCCAAAAAGAATAGGATCCCAAAAAGCCAGTACATGCAGTAGAGATAAATCCCAGTGCCACTGCCAGTGGCTTCTCAGTCTGCCCCAGCCTTCGTCCAACAACAAATTAGTAGCTTTTAAAACATTGTAAACTGTATACTTCATGAAATTTTTTAATTAACCTTGGATTTTTACATAATTAAGCAGTTTAAAGAATTGTATTTCACATGATCATAGGTCTACAAAAGTACTTTAAATTGACTTTTAAGGTGATTTTTAGATGTTCTTGGAATGATGTGTGTTTGTGTGGTTGAAATAGGAATAAACAAAGCTTCAGAAGCTCTTTAAACTCATTTGAGCATCATAGTCACACACAGTCTACCTTATGTAATGAGTCAAGCCTTTCTAACTCTATATGCCTTTGTCTGTTACTTATACAAACTCTGATTGTTAAAGCCAAGTATTTTCCCTCCGTTATATTTTGACTGTTAGAGATAATCTAAAAAGAAAAAATAGCAATGCAAAATTGTTGTTGTTACTCAGGTATGAAATATGTGTGTGGTTTGTGAAGGAACACATTTTCAGGGCGTTGTTCTTTCAAAACTAAAGCAGATTCAGATAGCGTCAAAAATAGTTATGTTGACTGGAGTGTTGGCTCATCAGTTATGAGTACCTTATTAAACTTGCACCTCCATGTCTGCCCCTAATGTCTAGAACTCCTGTCCCAGAGCATCTGACATTCTCTTCTAACTGCTAACCAGGCATACGCATGGTGCATGTTTATATGCACACGAATAGTACAAACACAAATATACACAAAATAATAAAAATAAAAAATAACCACTGTTTTACACTTTGCATATGTACAGTAAAATGGTGTGCTCATTCGGGGGCCTGAAATTTAAAAAACATTACAGTGGAAGATATGTTTGAATGTCAAAATATTTAGCCAATGAGAACTTGGAAGTCATTTAAGTCATTCACTTTTAGAGCTACAAAGGATCTTTCCAGCTGGTCCAACCATTTACAGGTGACAAGCACAAATAAAGAAGCTGGGTGGAGAAGAAAAGTACTTTTGGAAAGATGTATTTATTTTTATTTTATATGTATGAATGTTTTGCCTGCATGAATGTCTATGCACCATATTTGTGCCTGGTGCCCTCAAAGGCCAGAAGAGGGCATTGGATCTCCCAGAGCTGAAGTTGTGAGCTGCCACGTGGGTGCCAGAGAGCAAATCCAGGTCCTTGGCAAAAGCAGCCAGTGCTCTTAACCACTAAGCTATCTTTCCAGCCCACTTTTTTTTTTTAAAGCATACTTTTTTTTTTTAATACTTGGACAATTTTAAACGTGTAGGATGTATTTTGTTCACTCTCCCTCCTCCCAGTATCTTAACTTATTCTACTCCCCACTTCCTCTGGAGCCCTTCTTTTCAACACAGCCCCTCCTACACTCCATGTTTATCTTTTAGCTTTCTCTTTTTTAAAATAACCTGCTGAGTTTAATTAGGGTTGCTGGCATGTGCATTGGTATAGGATTATCTACTTGATCCAGTCAGTAGCTTACCAGTGCCTACACCCTGAAGAAAAGTGACTTTCCCTCTCCCAGCAGCTAGGAATTGCCAGTAGCTTCTCAGCTAAGGGGCGAGGTTGCATGGTTCCTTCCCTCTCTAGCCTGGAACCTGCAGAATCTTGTGCAGGTCGCCATAGCTGTTGTGGTCTCACAGGTGCAGGAGCATGCCCCGTCCAGGAGACTGTTACCTGATGCTCCTTTCCTCGGCTTCTTACGCTCTCTCTTTCCTTTTCCTTAATGCTATCTGAATGTTTGTAGTGGGATGAGTAACAGAGGTAGTTTGACTAGGGCTGTGCACTCAACAAGTACTTACCCTTAGTGTGAACATATTCTAGGTAGTGAATATTTTCTAAGTAAATAATAGGCCAGGATGACCGAAGGTGACTCCTAAGGCTTCCTGCAGGGTAACTAGAAAGGGGAAGGTGTGTTTGTGGACCAAGAATGGAAGTGCTTTTCTTCTTGAGGTAAATCAAAAAGCCAGTAGAAGTCAAGAATGAAAATTAAAGTTCCTGGCCCAGATGGTTAACAAAGCACTTGATCAGAGCCTCCATGTCAAGACCCAACCTTTGAGAAAAACAAGTTTCCAACTCTTTCTAGATAGTCTCATCAAATACATTTTCAACAATCGAGATGCTTTATTGTATCCATTTGTCAAAGGGACTTTTTATAAAGTTTGGCCTTTTTATTGTTCACATAATTTCTTTAAAAGATTTTTTGTTTTTATTTTAAGTGTATGAGTATTTTACCTGCATGTATGTCCCTGCAGCCAGTGTTTGCCTGGTTCCCAGAGAATACAGAAGAGGGTGTTTGAACTAGAGTTCCAGGTGGCTGTGAGCTGCTAAGTGCTGGAAACTGAACCTGGATCCTCTTCCAGAGCAACAAGTGCTCTCAACTGCTGAGCCATCTTTTCAGCTCCTTCAAATAATTTTTTGAATTGTATTTTATCCAGAGTTGGAGCATGGAGAAGATACAACAGTTCAATATAACTTATATTTAATATAATCAAGTTCAAAATAAAAATTAGCTGTAGTCAGCGTTCATACTTGTGCTATAAAATTTTCAGTTTCCTTTGGTTTACTATTAAAAGTGCCTTTGGAACAAATTAACTAGTTTTGCTAACCCAGGAAGAGAAGGGCTTGGGAAAAAGGAATAGCTGGGTTCGAGGCTCCCACCTGTGATCGCTCCTTTCCAGGGGCTAAGGTCTCCAGAGGACTGCTAGTTTCAGAGCAGACATTCCTAAGAAACCAGTACCCAGAATACAGACAGTGGGGCTGATCTATTGGGAACTCACCAAGGCCAGCTGGACTGTGTCTGAAAAAGCATGGGATAAAACCGGACTCTCTGATCATGGCGAACAATGAGGGCTGATGAGAAGCCAAGGACAATGGCACGGGGTTTTGATCCTACTTCATGTTCTGGCTTTGTGGGAGCCTAGCCAGTTTGGATGCTCACCTTCCTAGACCAGGATGGAGCGGGGAGGACCTTGGACTTTCCACAGGGCAGGGAACCCAGACTGCTCTTTGGACTGGAGAGGGAGGGGGAGAGGAGTGGGAGAGGGGGAGGGAAATGGGAGGCTGGGAGGAGGCGGAAACTTTTATTTTTCCTTTTCTCAATAAAAAAAAGAAAGAAAGAAAAGAAATCTGGGGAAGAGGCAGAGATAGAATGAGCACAATAAGTGCGTAGAAATTGATCAGGGTAGCTCCTGACTATAACCCCAGCACTTACAGGGATTGGGGAGGAGAGGAGGATG